TCTACTGTGGGGAGCTAAGGATCGGTCAGATTTTTCTCTGGAAGTACAGAATCACAGGAAGGTTGAGGTTGGAAGGGACCACTGGAGGATGTCTTGTTCAATTCCCTTGTCAAGCAGAGCCACCTGGAGCCAATTGTGCAGGACCATTCCAGACAGCTTCTGAGTGTCTGTAAGAATAGATTCTTCAACGCCTTTGGCCAACTGTAACCTAACTCGAACTTATATTTGTTAATCAAGCAGATCTTTGTGGGCTTCTGCATATATAAACAAAAAAAGCCAAATATTTATAGCATGTTGTATTCAAGGAAAGAGCTGTTTATAGGAGTGCGTATCCTGGCTGATTTCTTAGGGGGTCCACCTCATTTCAGCCTTCAGCTCATCACAGTTGCACCCAGATGATTGCTGGCTGTGCTGGCTGATAGTACTTGGCTCTTTGCGAAGCTCAGTTTGTTTGACAATGCGAAGCATATTTAATACGACCCAATACTTCCAGTTCAGTATTGCCAGTTCTGACCAGTAGTCTTCATAGGCAATATTAATTCACTTAATAGCTTGAAATACCCCCTGTCTAGCTTCGAAGTCAAATTGCAGTCATCTCATTGAGGTGGTCACTGCTGTATAGCCCGTGTTAGATCTTTTGTTGTGAAAGCTGTTTGATGAGCATTAACTGACCCTAATCTGTATGTTTGTCACCTGATTATCGATCCTTCCATATCTTTACTGCAAATATTCTTTGTTTGTCTTGAACTACAAAAGATTTGTGCTGTCTTCTACAGAAATCCCCTAAAAATGAATGTTTATATCCTCAAAATCCTTCTCAGTTCTTACTGAATTCTAAATGTTTAGATCCTTTGTGAAAGCAAAATCCCTAACAAATTGAAGTATATGCTTCTAAACCTTCCGAGAAGCATTTAAATCCTTCCATTGAACAATTAAGTAAGGAATTTCAGATACTCAGTCCTATATTCATTTCTGTGAAATTATTCCTAAGTGGGACAAAGTATGTCAGCATGAAGTACCTTGACTTGAAACAGAAGAGCTTTTTTTTCTCTAAGCTGGTTATAAAAGACCCCATGAAAATGCAGAAGCAAAGTGTGGGATACACAGCTTCTAAAATTTCTTCATTTGGAGAATCCTGGAAGCTTTTTATTATTTTTCCATTATTATATCAAAATGTTCAAATATATCTACAGAAGCTTGGCTTGGTTGCAGATCAGGGCAACAGTAGTGTGCGAAACACATCGGAGTTCATTAGGGAGAAGAGAGAGTTGTTTTTTCTCAACTAGACAGCTTGGCTAGTAATGAAAACAGCAGAACAGAGAAAGGCTTACACAGGGAGGAAAGGTAAAGAAAACAGTTAATATGTGCAAGGAAAGTTTTTTTTAAGAAGAAAATTAATTTCATTCATTGTTCATGGAAAGTGCACTGGTAACAAACCAATCAATGAAGATTAAATGAAGAATAACAGTCCTGAAAAATGCCGAAGTGGAGAAGTGAACACAATTGGAAAAAACGTGAATAATTTCACATATGTTTTCATTTCCTTTTAGAAGTTATTGATGGAATACCTACTTGGAAAGCAGAATGCGGTATCATCAAAGAAGTTTCTAAGATTGTCTCCTTTTAATTGTCTTTTATTTTTTACTTTAGAAGTGGAACTGATCCTATCAATTGTAACTGAGTTTTAAGAGAGCTTTACATGTCTAATGTCGTTGTTTTTGATTTTCAAGTGATAATCCATGCATGTGCTCACAGAGTGAAAATATATAAACAATGCCTAATGCTTGAAATTGAAGGCATTTTTTCCTTCCAGAATTCAAATAATCACTTCACTTGGTTTCTTACATCTGCCACCTTCAAGCCCGTTTTCTTTTCTACAATCCCTGCTGGTGGTGGAACTGCAGGTATCTTAATCTTTTCAAAAGGCTCGAAGGCTGTTTTATGATTCCACAGCAGTTTCATCACTTGGGGATGCTTCTGCAGTTTTTAAATTTTGAACTACATATAGCGTGTGGCCTTCCTCCTTCAAACAGTGTCCAGTCTGCGGCAGTAGTGCAGGTGTCTGAGAAAGCATCTTCCACCATGCGAGCTCCTGCCACATGGAGATGTTGCTTCTCTTCCCCCGCTTTGTGTAGGACCAGGAGCTGAGTCCTTCCCTTGCCTCTTCCCAGCTCTGAGAATCCTTATGACCATACTGCTGGCAACAGGTTCCTGGGAGACAAAAGGTGAAGCAACTGGGTCTTTCTCCTCCCTTTCTTGTCCCTGAGCTGAGTCCTTGTGTCTGTATTAAGGTGGCTCTTCAGAAGTGACAGAACTCATTTAGGAGATGGGGTGGACTATGGTGTTTGGAGAGCTCTGCCTCCTCAGGACTGGCATGAAGACCCCACCCCACACTCTCATCATAAGACTGATTGGCATCTCACTACCCTGATGAAAGCCTCAGTGATGCAGAACGCACATGTGAGTACTCCCGTTTTGCAGAAATGCCTACAGACCTTGCTTACATGCTGTACGCAGTGTGCAAGTCCCTCCCTTGTCCCTTGAGCGACTGCTGGCTTTCGGGCATCCACTCTCTGCGGTGTGGATCCATGTAGAGGGATGTCGGTTCTTCAGCCTTTGCACCCCGAGGCTGTTCTTCTGACCGTATCTTGCTTTGTTTGCTGAGCGCATAGTTCTGATTTCCAGCTCAAGCTCTTCATTTGTGAGCTGAAGTCCTAAATAGGAATTAAGGGTTTAAATCCTATATCTGATGTGACATATTTAGGGAGGCTGTAAAATTGCTTGTGAGCAGATATTTCATTACCTAGATAAAGGCATTGTAAAATTTTGTGGTTAGTTTATCATGTGCACTAAATTTTCATATTTCTTGTTCCAGTACATTTACAGTCAAATGTTCTTGAAATTACTGCTTAAAAATGATTGTTAGTGTGAGACAGTATTCATGCTGTTCCTGTCTGGTTTTTTTTTTTTGTGCTTGATAACCACATGGTATGAACATCAAGACTGCTTTCTGATTTAAATAGTAGGTAAATACAGTGATTTGTTTGCCTTCTTTCAAGAAATAAATGATAAGCTGTTTCTAGATGTTCTGAGGGAAATAATGAGCGTTTCCTGGTGGGTACTTTATTTATTTTTTTAAAAGATAACTTCCCCCTCCTCCTCAAATGACTAGAACATATAAATGACTGAAAAAAAAAAAAAGCATTTTGTGTTATTCGTTGAAGTGGAGGTATGCTGCTATTGGGGAATTACTGTAACAGGGTTTTCTGGAAGCTCATCATGGGAGAGGAGTTTGATATCTCAGTGAGTAGGAACCTAAGCATAAATGCAACACAGTCTGCTTCTAATAGGAGTGTTTCATTTAATACACCGCCTGTTTTATTTGGGGACAGTCCTAAGTTTGGTTCTTATGAGTATTTCTGTATTATTCTTTTCTTCACTTTTTCTTCTCTTCTCCTTTTTTCCACCTCTGCTCTTTTTTTTTCCCCTTCAACAAGAGAATCAGTGAACATACATGTGTTTTTTTCACATGTAGTTCTTGCTTCACTTCTTGCTCCTGGTGTTACATCTTCGTGAGCAATTTTCATGTTGCCCCATGGGTTAAGAACAGGAGCAAAATATCCACATAGTGAAACTCACAATAGCTGGATTGTCTAGAAGGGCTTATTTTCCTTAAATAGCACCAAAAACAACTTTCAGGTTTTTTTTCCTCTGGAATGTCATTTGCTCAAAACCCTAGGGAGAGAAGGCATGAAAGATTGATGCATGTTTTTGTCAGTCAGACCATGGGAAATGTGCTTTGCTGCTTTGCTTGTTTCCCAGGTTTGAGTGCGCAGGGCATTTGGGAGCAGTGTTAATATATAAAATGCTGGGCTGGCCTTCCAAGCCTTCCTTTTCCTGCCTCCTGGAAATGTCAGCTGGTTTCCCTGCACTTAGCCCTTTCCTTGTGAGTCGTTTGGTACCAATTCTGTCCAATTTGGAGTGTGTCTGAATGTTAAAGGCATGACACACTCTACAATAAATAAATAACCAAACCAGGTTCCCAGTTTTAACCTGAGCAGTAGTCCCCTCATTGGATGATCTGGTGATTTCAGAGCCTGAAGTGATGGTCAGGATTCAATTTGAAAGTATATATTTAATAAAGTCTATATAAACTTTTTTGAGTATTGTTTTATTAGTGTACAGAATACTGTAGATTGCTGCCTAGTGATGTTTTCTGTGTTAAAAATGCCTTTTTTTAACTAACCATGATATAGAACATTTATTTCCTGGCAAGCCAAACCATCTATAAAATCTTTTAATTCATTTAAGAATACAAACACAGAGAAGTATGGTATTGCTTTGGATCCTTGTGGAAAAGAATAATTACCTTCTGTAATGTGGTTCGTGTGTCTTTGAAGAAGATGGTATGAGATAGGTGGTGACTGGAGAAATATTTTTATTTTGGATGCTTTGCTTTGTTAGATAATAAAAAACTCAAGCGTCATGTTCTGTTCAGCTTTGACTCTGTTAGAAGTCCTTACCTGACCTGGGGAGAAAGAGTACCTGTGAAGGGGAATGTCTTATTTGATGCACTTACAGTAACAGACAGACCTTCACTGTCTTTTACAAGCAGCCTGAGTTCTTAAGAATGAAAGTAGTGAAAAAGTTTGGGGGGCCCAGAAATTTATGTGCATTTCCTTCACTGGGAATTAATGGGAGTATAGATGTCCACTTAAATTATATATGTGAAAACTTAAAACCATCAGAAATTATAAACTTAAAATTACAGAGCATAAAACAACTTGTTCACAAATAGACACTACCTTCTGAAAATTTTGATTTTAATTTAAAAACGTCATCTTCCACAGCTGAATTCTAGTCATGGGAAGCTCTTGGGGAGCAAACATGCGTATGGGTTACGTGATTTTTGTGTGGCAGTTAAAGGAGGGATATATGATGCTTTCTATAAGCGTGTATTTAAGCATTGCACAAATGTAACATTCACATTTGTGTTTCAGGAAAACCTGATGACTCAGCTGAAACTCTTCTAGATCAGGAATGCAGAAACCCTATGACTTACTCAAGCCAGCTGGAAGACTCTGGATGTGATGTCTCTAATGACTATGGATTTGATTCTTTAGGCGTAGCTTCTGATTTTCACAAACCTGAGCACAATGTCGACAGTTCTAAATGTTGGTTGGAAAGAATACCTCCACTGGATCTTTGCTGTACTAGCAAGGAGGGATCTCTGACTGCTCCAGTGCAGTTTTTGCAATGTCTTCTTGAAATCAGAAAACTGTCAGAAGGAGGAATTCTTCAAGCAGACTTTGCAGAGCTTGAGAATGATTCTTTCACCATATGCGATTCAGTGTCTCAGCTGCTTGATGGACTGACTGTTTTTTACAACAGTCCTAAATTTTCAGTTTCGAATTTTCTTACTGACGCAGTTAGTGTTTTGATCAGTTTAATAACAGATACTAAATTATCTAATTGTGTTTTGAAGAAGTGTTTCAAGAAGCTGGAAGAATTTAAGAAAAATCTAATTCAGATTATTTTAAGAAACAGCAGTGTCAACAGGGTAAGTGTAAAACGTCTTCCATCTTTCCTACACCATTTCAGTGTACTGTAATATTCTCCTGTTTTTATGCACTTTTAAAAATAGTAGTTTGTCCTACTATGCTTTGAAGAGTGGTTCTCAGTGTTTTTTGGGATTGTTCTTTTTGTGGTATGGACAATAAATGCTCTAAAGAATTTGAAAAAGTTCCTGCTCATGCATGCAAGTTCTTCTAGTCTATTCCTGAGAACAGGACTTTTAAAAAAATGTTAAAAAGGCAGATTAAAACAACTTTATAGAAAAAATGAGAGAAAACCCACACTTTCTCTTGCTATATGAAGCTATATTGTAGATATTCACAAAGTAATTACAATACAACTTTTTAATTCTGTTTTTGTGCACCTAGATTAAATAGGTTGGTTTGCTTCAGGAGATCTGTCACCCTCTAGACGTTTGCAAATTTATGTTTTAAAACCAGATGAGCAAATGAGTGTAGAATTCAGAAACGGCATGTCCCCGGCACAAACAGCAAATGGGACTGCATTGTGTTTTGTCTGTGTTCATCATTCCGCATTGTTCCACGCGTCATCTTATTAGTTTCCTCATTCAACTGCAATATCCCCAGTCTGTCTTCACAGACGTGATACTTTGTTTTTAATTAGAGGTGTCCCTGGCCAGCGTTTTGAGAGGATGTGAGCACACATACAATTTGTGTGGGGTCAGGAATGGAGTCATGCAGGTGTGACTCCTTTTATTTTTTTGTGTGATTGCAGGATACAGAACAAAGAAAACTTGAGCAAGAATTCATTAAGGACTTCTTCATAGTTGATGATGTCCAGTGTTTAAACCTTTTCCCTTCCTCTACCTGAATGGGAAGTTAATAAATAATTTAAATAATATTAATTATAGGAGAGCAACCAAGAGGTTATCCTGAGAGGGATTACTTGTTGATTGGAGGAATCTGACAAAGTTTAAGTGAGAGGTGTCAAGTTTTAAATGAGAGAAAATATCCTGAGAGATCAGGGATGTGTCAAGCCTGCAGAGTGCTTTTCTAAATCCTTCAGGAAGGGTGGAGTATGTCCACAGAATTTGCAAGAGGCATCTTATCTCTGAATAACTTCACTGAAGCAGATGGCTTTTTATGAGATGTTTTATATCTTGCTTCCACCAAAATATTGACTTAACAGTTATTCCTATCGACAGCTATTACTTCAATCAAGCAGATTGAGTTTAAAAATTGTATAAACCAATTATTAAAGGATAATCATTGTCGTTTCTAGGGAAAAAGGGAAACTGTTGTGTGTAGCAAATGCCATGTTTATATTTATTGAAAAATCCTTTTTAGAGGTTTGGTTTTCTTTAAACTGAATTGGATATGGAAATAAATATGTAGAATTCAGAATTAATTCTGGGAATTGTATAACTAATTCTTCATGTGCTGTGTAGCAGGTATCTCCAAGGGACACTTTATGCTTCAGTTTTAGTCATTACTGTTTACTCAAGTGGTGATTGAAATATCAAGATTATAGGTTTAAAAAGAAATTGCCATTAATTACAAGGCTGTCATCTGGAAAGAGAACTATGTGAATTTTGTTTCCAGGAGGATGCTGAAATCTCTCCAGTATAAAACCAAGAAGAATTTTGTTGTATCTAACCTTCCTAACTGTCAAAAAGCATTTGTACAGATGGCCACCAGTGCAGCTATAGTATTTGACACAACCTTCCCTTTGCCATCCTCACCTATAAAACTGTCAGGAGCTGTCAAGGAGGACAAAGGGCTGTAAGAAACACCTTCAGAAAGTGAAGAAAGAGAGAAATGGCTGTGGATTGTGCTTAACGCCTCATTGTAGTTTAATGCCTCGTCTTCAAAAGCAATCCCAGCATTTTACAGTGCAAATTAAATAACTTAAAAAACTTTTGAGAAGTGGAAAAGAGATAATTATCTCTGCATTAGGTATAAAGGAAGAAAAAAAGCAGCAGAATTACTTGCTGTAGCTGTTGAGTCCTATTGTTTGAGATGTTTCTAATTATAAAGAACTGCAAGCTGTAGGAACCAGCAAATATATGTACTGGGAGCTTTTCTGCCTGCATTCAGTAGCCTGAAGCTGTGCACTTTGGATAGAAGTTTTGACCTGAAACTTCAAATTGATATATCAAAAGGAAAAAAAATAATCTATCATTTAAGGTATGAGAGGTAAAATAAAATATGTTACTTAAAATATAAAGCCATTTAAACCAAAGAACTACAAATAAAAGTAGCCTCCTGAATTTCCTTTTTTAATTTTTCTCTTCTCCTTCCATGTGCTCAGAAGTTTGCACACAGCTACAGACACACTTTTGTGTGTTTGGTTTTGGGGGTTTTTTTTCCATCTTTTGAGAAGAAGCCTTCTGGAAGTTTCCAGAAGGAGCCTCAAGTCACGGCTGCAAAGCGTGAAGCATGAATGCTCTGAGGTTAAATCATCTGCTCAAAGGCCTGCGTCTGCCTCTGCACCTTCTGCTGGCGGGTTCTTGCACTCCCGTGTGGCTGCCACGGTAAAGCCTGTGAGGATCCTGTGTTTAATTCTGGTACACATAAGCTGTTGCTCTCATGTTGCAAAATCTGTGATAGATTTTTGGATAGAATCTACGGAGCAAGCACTTTGCTTGTCACCAATTTTTGACCCATCAGCACTGAGACTCTTGGGGTGTTGCTGTTGGTGTGCTGTCTTTTGATGTGCAAATTGTTCATTAGAGTCACTCCGGTGTCAGCAGAACCACTGCCCTGTTTATGCAGGTTCCTTGCAAGTCCTGCTTTCAAGCAGACAGAAGTGTATTATTAGAAAACTCTGTGCCGTTGTGTTCAGTTCGAGGAGCCGCTGGCTCTACTTTTCAAATGGACTGTTCTCTACTACCTGACAAATCATGGGAAAATATTTCCCCAGGGGAACTTCTGTAGGAGCTATGATATGTAATTACAGCTCCAGTGGAATAGAAACATTGTCTCTTATTCAGAAAGGAAGCACAGGAACATTTTTGTCCTTAATGTACCCATTTGGGATTTGATAACAGCTGTCTCCATCCACCTCCACAGGGACATAACGACCGCGCATCTCTCCTGCTCCTCCCTGGCACTGAGCTGTGCCTGTTCCTTTGAGGTTTGTCTGTTGTCCAGGGTGTGTTGGAACAAGGGATCACGGGGTCACAGTGTTAGTGGACGAGGAAAGAGCAACTGCCATCATCTACTTGGGCTTGTGCAAAGCATCTGACATTGTCCCAAATGACAGCCTCCTCTCTAAATTGGAGAGACATGGATTTGACCGATGGCCCACTCGGTGGATGGTTGCACACAGAGTTGTGGTCAATGGCTTGATGTTCAAGTGGAGATGGGTGATGAGTGGCGTTCCTCAGGGGTCGGTACTGGGACCAGTGTTCTTTAATATTTGTTGGAGACATGGACAGTGGGATGGAGTGCACCCTCAGCAGATTTGCCAATGACACCAAGCTGTGTGGTGCGGTGACACGCTGGAGGGAAGGGATGCCATCCAGAGGGATCTGGACAGGCTGGAGAGGTGGGCCCATGCAAACCTCATGGAATTTAACAAGGCCAAGTGCAAGGTCCTGCACGTGGGTCGAGGCAATCCCAAGCACAGATACAGGCTGGGAGGAGAATGGATAGAGAGCAGCTCTGAGGAGAAGGACTTGGGGGTGTTGGTGGATGAGAAGCTGAACATGAGCCGGCAGTGTGCACTGGAGCCCAGAAACCAACCGTGTCCTGGGGGCATCAAAAGAAGCATCAGCAGCAGGTCGAAGGAGGTGATTCTCCCCCTCTGCTCTGCTCTCGTGAGACCCCACCTGGAGTGCTGTGTTCAGATGTGGGGAACAGAGAAGGACAACATAAGAAAGACGTGGGCCTGTTGGAGCAAGTCCAGAGGAGGCCACGAAGATGGTCAGAGGCTGGAGCACCTCCCCTGTGAGGACAGGCTGAGAGAGTTGGGGTTGTTCAGCCTGGAGAAGAGAAGGCTCCGGGGAGACCTTAGAGCAGCTTCCAGTGCTGAAAGGGGGCTACAGGAGAGATGGGGAGGGACTCTGCATCAGGGGGTGTAGGGAGAGGACAAGGGGGAATGGATTTAAGCTGAAAGAGGGGAGATTTGGGTTAGATATTATAACAGAAATAAAAGATACTTCATCCATGTGCTATTTGTATCTCTTGTGTGTAAAACTTCAAAACAATTACTGTTAAGGAATTCAGAGTCTTGTTTGTTACTTCTGACACAGCATAAAAATATTTTTATGTCTGGCTTCTTTCAGTGTAGTTCAGCTTGTATTTGTACGGCCAAGTACAGTCCCAGAGTGCTGCGTTACAAAGGATTTGTGTGATGTTGTCCCTAGTGGTGTGGCACTGATTTATCAGCGTTGTTGACAGAAGTTCAGTTCACTGGTTGTATTTCTTTTAGGTGCAGCTGATAATGATGATGGTAACTGATGATGGATAATGCATCAGTGATGTGCCAGAAGATCCTGGCCCTCACCTTGGGTCATGTACTGAGGTCTCTGTCTGTTTCTTGTTTTAAGGAGTTGAAAGACAATGGTACGGTGCCTTATGTATCCTAAAGTCGAGCTGTGTAGGGCTCTCAGAAAAAACTGCTTTCCAGTGCCTTGTTGTTGTTCAACAAGCACCTCATCCATCTGCCCCTCCTTACTCCTCTTTCAAACAAGTCCCAGAGGGCAAGGGATGTGTTTCAGTGGGCTGTTGTTTGCTTCTTCTTATGCTATGTTTAAAACATCAATACTGACTTGGAAGATGCTGTCCAGAGTCATGAATTGCCTGCTCCATTCAAACAAAGCAAAAAAAAAAAAAAAAACAAAAAAAAAATTATGTGCTGTTTCCTTCCTTTTTTTTTTTTTAACCCTTATCCCCTTTGGCAATTGGCTATGCTACCTTTAGAGCAGTTGTTTGGAAGTTATTTTGTATTAACACTATCGGAATGGATACTGGACATGGACATAGTCTGTAGGAATTCTTCCTATCCTGTTTGGGACTTTAC